TAGACCCAGAGGAACATAAATTACTCCACCAAAAAGACACCTGCACACATATGTTCGCTGCAGCACTAGTCTCAATAACAAAAACATGGGACCAACCCATCGAAAGTGGACTGGGTAAAGAAAATGTGGCACATATACACAATGAAATACTACGTCGCTATAAAGAACAAAATCAAATCCTTTGTAGCCACACAGATGCAGCTGGAGACTCATTCTAAGTGAAATATCACAGAAGCAAAAATCCGAATACCACATGTGCTTACTCATAAGTAGGCCCTAAACATTGGGCATGTGAGCACAAAGGTGGGAACAAATGATGGTGGGCACTGCTAATGGGGCATGGAGGGGATGTAAGAGGCCACAACCACCTCTTGGATACCATGTCCACTACCGGGGGGGAGAGAGGGCTTGCTAGAATCTCAAACCTCACCTGTACGTATTTTACTTATGTAGCAAATCCTCACAGGTACCCCACAACTGTAAAATAAAATAATTTTAAAAACCAAAATGTGTGCCTTTCAAATGTAAAAAAATAAAAAAGATTACCTCATTTTTAAGGTTTGGGGGAAGTCAGTGTGACTTTGAACCTAATACTTTATGGGGTGGGCAGGGTAGGGATTGGACAATCTTCCTATTTCTTCTATAGAAATTGATCTGTCTTCACTGGGGCTAGTTTTGGTAAATTATAGTTTTCTAGAAAATTACCTGTTCTTCTAGGTACTTACATTTATTTCTAGAGTTCTGCAATGTTTCCTCTTAAAATGAAAAAACTTCCTGTTTTGATCACTATTCTTTCTTAATTTCTAATTTTGTGTATGTTATTTTATTTTTTTAAGTTAGCTAGTGGTTTGTCTGTTTTGCCTTGTATTCAACAAACAATTTTATTTATTCATTTACTTCTATTTCTTTTAACTCATATCTACTGTAATTCATGTTTTCTTAATTTCCCTCAGCTTATTTTTGTTATTGTTGTTGTTCTTTTCCTAACTTTGGCTCATATGTATAAATCTTTTTTTTCCTCTTTCTTCTTTAGTCATATTACTCCTTGAGACTACACATTTTCCTCTACTTAATTTTTATCTCATGCATTCTTACATGTTTTCATTATTGTTGCTCCCTGGAATTCCTACAGTTTTGATTGGCATTTTCTTTCAACACATAGTTGTTTGTTTTAACATTTTAAGATAAATGAAGGTTTATCTTTTCTAATTTTGCTAAAATGTCAATTTCACTTGTCTCTATTATTTTTAGGTCTTCAGTATTTGCTTTATTTATCTTCTATTATTTGTCTGTATATAATTTCCTTAATTCTAAATTATACCTAGTCACTACTTAGATGAACAATAATAGCTTTGACAGTTTTTATTCCTTTCCCCCCTCCTCTTTTTCACCATAACTTCAGTCAACAATACCTTTTCATGATATTTATCTTTGTACCGTTAATTATACCTTTTACCTTTGACTTGATTTGTCATCTTTAAATAACATGCTCTTAGCTGTTACAGATGCTGCAGTCCATATGCTTATTCTACCTCTCATCAGGGTGTTCTTCCAACGACTCCAAGACTTCCTTCATCTGCTTGTTTCCTTCAAATGCGGCGTTTTGGTGGGTTTCTCCACATAGCCACATTTTTTTTTTTAAAGCAGGATTTATTGAGAGGACAGAAAAGCTCCCACAGTGGGAAGGGACCCGAGGGGGTTGCCCCACAACTTTTTTTCTTTCCAGAGCAAACCAGGTTCAAGAGGCTTTTGCACTTGTCTAGTATTCCCTGCTTCTACACCCAGGGTGCCTCTCCTATGTCCCGGAGCTGAGTTTTGCTACCACTTTCTGAGCTCTGCATGGTTGGACCCTTCTTAATACTTTCTGTTCCTTTTTTTTCTACCAGCTCTTGTAAGCTCAGCTCTGTTTTCTCTCAGCCCCGTTCTCAGGAGTTTCTTCCCTAACGTTTGCCCTTCTCATTGGGCTCCTGTTCTCCAGAGCAGACCCCCTATCCTCAACTACTCTTAACAGAAAAAATAGAATTCCACAGATAGAAGCTTTCCCAACTTCCTTTGTAAACTTGTCTATTATAATAGAGTGTCCCACACTCCTTGGTTCCCATACTGGGAAGAGATGCCCTTTTTCACAAAGCCTACAGTCTCTTTCCCTAGATATTACGCTTTATCTCTTTTACAAGTTTTTAAACTTCGTCAATTATCTGTGTCTCCTCTGGCTTATTCCACAAATAAACTTACTGCCTTCATCCTAAAACCAAACCCAAAACCCAAAAGACATTTCTGTGTTTCTTACTCCCTTTTAAAGTTTCTGCTTTTCCCTCCTTTCTTTACAGACTATGCATAGCCTCCACTTCAAGTTTTGCCATTCTTTCTCCGGGTTATTGCACCAACTTTGCCTTCCACCACTGACTGAAACTGCTGTTGCTAAAATAAAGTTATCCTAATGACAAGGTCTGGTCTGTTCCTTCTTTAAATTCTGAGTCCCAGAAATCATTGTCTTGACTTCTAGAATGGGCAATCTAGTTCTACTTGTTTGCTCTCCTCCATCCAAATATTAAATTTCACTATGCTTCAGGGGGATCACATTTTTTCCCTCACATCATAGAATCTTCCTTTGTCATCTGCTTCTGAGTCCAAACATCAGGTAAAAGAGACCCACTTTAGCAGTATTTTAGCAAAATTTTTCTATTCATGGCAATGCACAAATTAAAAATATTACAATAAGTCATTTTAAGGTGTTATTTCTTTAAAAATAAATTTACCAGCTGGATGCAGTGGATAACACCTGTAATCCTAGCACTTTTGGAAGGTCTGGGTGGGAGAATTGCTTGAGCCCAGAAGCTCGAGACCAGCCTGGGCAATACAGCAAAACTACGTCTCTATAAAAAAAAAAAAATCAAAATATTAGCTGGACATGGTGGCATGCACCTGTAGCCCAGCTACTTGAGGCTAAGATGGAAGGATTGCCTGAGCCCAGGAGGTTCAGGCTGTCATTAGCTGTGGTAGTGCCACTGCATTCCAGCCCGGGCAACAGAGCAAGACTCTGAAAACAAACAAATAAATAAATTTATCCCAAGTTTTGAATTTTATGAGTGAAGGTTATTATAAACAAGAGTTTCTATTGGGGGGAAGAGTGGGAAAAGTTGATCTTTTTTTTTTTGAGTTGGAGTCTCACTCTGCCGCCCAGACTGGAGTGCAGTGGCTGCTCCCGGCCACCGCAGCCTCGACCTGCTGGG